CACGTACGCGGTAGCCAGCCATTCTCTGCCAAGATTTCGTCACTATATGGGAGACATTGCACGTGCAGATGTGTACGGTGTTGTGCTGTGCGTGACTTTTGTCAATTTCTTCAACTCGGACAATTCATATTGCGCTCGATAACAGACGACGTTTACGGGCTATCATGGAATGTTACGTTAGATATTTGTGGTATTGTTAAGCACGGTGATTCTTAAGCTGATTGTGTATCTATTGACCATCTCTTGTCGCCCTGTTTTATCATTAACTAAAATTTCTATCGTGCCCTATGAAGCGTTTGGTATATAAAAAAAAACCTCACCTCGCCTGTGTGTATGCTGCTGGCACCGAATCTGCTTTTATAAACACTTGAGGGGTGTTGAGTGCCTCATTAATTGGATTGTGCTGCCTTTTCCACTGGAAACAATGCAAGGGGCTTGTGCTCCTTCCCTCAAGGAGTTCAGTGCCCAAATATTCCCGACCCAGCCTCGGCAGTGATCATGAGTTGGCTTGTGCACAACCACCACATAGTTCTTTCCTCATGTGACTTCTTTTTTTTTTAACAAGGTGTGATTTTTTTTTTTTTTGCCACTATTTAGAGTTCTCAATGTGAACAGTGTATCTACGTGCGTGGGGTAAATGGTGCAGACTTGAGAAAGAAGATGGCCGCCCTCATTGGCTAAAGAGGTAGCGGGTTGGACTTCAGAAGCTGTGCGAACATCCATTGCCACAAATTAATATCGTTAAGTTTTCCCTCCCTTTTTCCTTGCATTAAAAAGAAAACACGGACAACTGTGGCTTAAAAAAATATTGGAGAGCATTGTATCAGGAATCCAGTGAATTTGTTCCTATTGTCAGTGAAATAGAACCTTACATCTCTTCCAAAGTCCTGTAGCTTTGGCTTGGCAGCTGCCTTTCTACGCATTGGCAGATGATGCTTTGCGAGTAAAAGGGTAATGATGCGTTCCTGAAATCTTTGCTCACGCCACTGCTGTCCGAATGGCCTCCACTGGAGGCGATTTTGGCCTACTCTTCCACGTTGACGAGACGTCTTGGAAGAGGTGTGAGACTCCACACTTTGCCCCCAATGGACTGTGGCATTGCCATTTACACCGCTTGGTGGACGGAGGTGGGTGGATTAAAAAAACAAAACTTCCCGCATTGTTGTAAACTGCTGCACCGCACCGGGAGACCGATTCGGCGACCTCCAGATGCGCAAGTGTGCACGGCTACCACCGCGGCGGCGGCGGCGGCGACATCGCAGGACGCTTGCCAGTACCTGCCGTCGAACACCTGTCCTTATCGGAATGCTTCTTTCTGCCAGGGCTGTGTGTGGTTTGCACTCAAATTAGCTTGGCTCTGGGAACATTTGCCTCCGTGCTTAGCACTGCAGGACTAGAAATGCAGGCCGAAATCCCCCCCTCCCCTCTCCTACTTGTTTGAGCCCGTCGGAAGTGCGAGGCGAGGCGGTTGGCGTTGTCTCTGCGTAAAAACGTTGGCTCCCCGGTGCAAACTTTACCTGTTTGATTATGCGGCTGTTTAAATTCACCGTAACTGTCGGCGAGTCAATTAGTGGAACTTGGGAGATTTAAAATGATCCAGCTCTCTGGGCGTCCCTTCGCCCAGCGGCGTAAGAACTTGTTTTGTTGCTCATTTGGTTCGATCAGTAAATCTGTCCCAGCCCTAACGTCACTTTGAATAGCATTGTGGGCGTGTGGTGTATGGTCCTGCTTTGGTTTGTGCTTTTGCATGCAATTTACGTAGAATTTGAATGTCAGAACGTTTGGATCCAGCAGCTGTTCATTGGTTAATGTGTATGTTTAGTTGTGTTTACATGCGGTATTTTTTGTTAAATAATGAAATATGGTACGTGGTTTTTTATTTATAAATATATGTATAGTATTCATGCATAAACTACTGCTCTAAACAATGGCCATTGCCCAGAATATTAGTTTATCAAATATATTTTGTTTAACCAGGTGAGAACTCAAGATACTGAGATAGTCTAATTTATAAGAGTAATCTGGGTAATTAAAATTACAAAATTCTAGATTTGAAGCTTTCGTGACTGCAAGGATTCATATTCTTAGGTTTTTGCGGTAAAGTCACGTAGGTAAAAAATTTAAATTTTAAATAATAAAAGTAAAATAAGTGGTATCTCTTGCAATCTCTCATTTACTTGATACAGTTGTCGTGCTGTGACGGTTCCACCTGAAGACGGAAGCTTGTGTTGCCTCCGAAACGTCGTGTTATTTTATTTATTGTTATTTTTATTTTACTTTTATTAATTTAATTTCAATTTTTTTACCTACGTGACTTTACCGAGAAAACCTAAAAATTACAAAAGAAAAAATGTTAGTACAGCAATGGAGCAAATAGAAAATCGGCACAAAATCAAGTGACACGTGAGAAATCGAGCATATCGCACAAACATAAGTCGGTATTCAACATTTAATTCTCCACAGCGGATGTCCGGCAGAGTGTTAATGACGACATGGGCAAATTCTTGTCAGGCTTGAGCACGGTAACTGGCAACACTCCTGGGAAACTAAAGCAAACTGGCTCCTGGTCAATCTTTTCCTGAAGTCTGTCGTTAGTGTCTTTGTCTCTGTGGGATGACCCTTGTCAAATGAACGGACAAATACATTTGTTGAGAGAGGGAAACCATCCATACTGAGCTTATATCCCTTTTGGCATTATCAGAATATCAGAATGTACCCGAGTTCACTCGCCAACAGTCTGGGCTAAAGAACACAGCCTTTGACTCGGTGGCACGATGCTAACGCACAACCGCAAGCCCACTCTTGTGTAGCACAACGCCGCGTGGAAAAATCCCAATTAAGCGTGTGGCAAACAACAACAGCAGCAACGTTACGAAACGTGTTTTTTGAGCAGCACAAAGTTAAAACTGCCAGCCCCCCTCCACGCAGGCTGCGGACGAACACGCGTGAGCGAGCGCGTGCCAGCACGTTGCGCGTTTAATTGCGAGCTCAGCGGCCGGCGGACACAGCGGAGCGCGAGCACTCCGCTGCACTTGCGTGTTGTTGTTTTAATATCCCGAGAGCAGTGTTTTCGTTGGGTTATCTTGCAACACGTCAGGAAATAAAATACCGTGGGCATTCAGAAGTTAGGTATGCGAAGCGCTAGTACCATTGCCAGCAAATTAGCATTTTCTGTGGAGCGTGGCGCGATACAATCGCACACTTTTCCTTTATGTCTGTGCCGGCTTCCTTAAACTCACAATATAACCATAAGTTGTCAATAGGCATTAACGCGCGTACATGTACGCATTAGCCCCTGGCTTCTTTGATAATGGCTATAATTATTGGGGCAGACTTTGCGGAACCTGCATTTCATTTTCGGAACACGGCAATCCTGCATTTAGCAGATTTCAGGGGCTCGCCTGAGCTCCTGTGTTGTAATGGAGAGCGACAGCACTCCGTTCTCATTATTTACTTTCGGACTCGCCAAGTGAAGTTGTGGTCCTGTTTGGCCAAACGTGTGCGGTTGGTCATACGTTTTGAAATCCAGAGTCTCTAGTGATTACCGTTGTCGGAAGTGTTCCCTGGGAGCTTGTAACTCAGCAGGTAATGGGCGCAGACAAGCACAGGAAGCACCAAATAAGGGCTCTTTCGAACCTGTAATCATGCCGCAGGTCCTTTTATTTTAAGCACAGAGGGGGGGCAGTTTTTCAAAATTAGGTACATGCCTTGCTGTCGTGCGTCTTGATAATTTATTGAGACTATGAACGGTTATGCTCCCAGTAAACATGCAACGTTGGGGCAACGTTGGCGCAAATTCCATGTTTACTGGGTTGTTATTTCAGCAAATTAATTTAGTTCAGAACTGCAAGGAGCCTTGCACGCATGAAATGCATATTGAAGCTTTTGCTGTAACGTGCAAAACTATTTTACGTACATATTTTGCTTTGGAATATCCTTCTTCTTGTGCGAAGATGACGGAGAGGTAAACATACATTACGAGTCTTATTCGATGTTTTTGATTGTGTTGTATGTTCACCTTTAATGTACTGTATCCATTCCCGGTCTGTTTATGTTTGAATGTGCTCTTCCCCCTTAAAAAAAATACGACGGTCCCCAATAGATTTAATCAAAATACGTCTGTTTTGCAAAGTACCCGCATGCAAATGCAACCACCACTGGGTTTTTTCAAACCAGCTGAATCAACAGTGAGATCCTGAACCAAAATTCTTGTCTCTATATCAGTCCAATGTTTAAAGATGTCGTATATAACGTGAAGCTATATTATTTTAGTCAATAATGTACATCGAGGCTTCAAAATGGCTGCCAGCCAAACTATGTCTAGCGATACAATGCATGCATAACATGCCATAATAGACCAGGATGAAAACCATAACGACTGTAGGTTTGTAAGTTTGCATTCGTTGATCATTTTACAATGCATTTTTAAATCCACAAACTAAGAGTTGGATGTGCTCTCTTTGCTTGCAGCACAAATTTGTGAATGGATACATTGCGTGTGCGTGCGTGTGTGCATGTATGACTGTAAATACATGAAGCTTTAATCTGTTGGCTTTGGAGGTGTAATGTTGTAATCCTGCACGCTTGCCAGGTTACATCTCTACAACCTCAGCAGCAGAAGTGCGCCGAGGGAGAGAGCACTCATTTTCTCGGCTATAGTTCTTGGATAGTAAAGCGTCAGCTCTCATTATCGTCACACTTTGCACAATGCAACTCTATCAGTGTTGCCGTGTGCAGCCGCCACCCATGCGGCATTGCCTAGTTCTCTCCTCATTCTGTGAATGACACGTGGAGCAAAGACTTATCACGCCGTTGTATTATTTTTCCTTTTGCACGCTGACTTCACCACGGCTGCCACTGCTCTCGTGTGGCAGGGAACTGAAGTATATTATTAGTGTTTCAACGTGATGCGCGCGCACGCGGCGAGATCCTGGGTCAGCCCCTCCACGCGCCCACCAAAATCTGACCCCCTCCCCCCGACCTCTGTGCTCTTTTGACAGGAGTGCGACCAGGTGCACATCGATGATGTGTCGTCGGACGACAATGGTCAGGATTTGAGGTGAGGCCCCGCCCCTGCGTCCCGCCGGTGGTACCGCTGGCGAGCGCACCGCTCCAAACGCTTCGCTCCCAACACTCCGCTCGCTCTCTCGCCTCGCCCCCCCCCCCCCCCCCCCGAGGCCGCTCGCCTCTCTCCCCTCTCTTATGAAAACACGGCGCTGCCTGCGGGGCCCAGCGGGGAGCCCGCAGCTGCCTCGCCGAGTCTTGGACAGAACCTCCGCTTTATCTACGTCCTCATCTCATCCCACAAGTTTCGGGATCCCCGCGGATGGCTTTCCATCCGCGCCTGCACCGACCAACGTGTGCAGGTTGCACATGCGCGGTTGTGCAGTCGCGCTCCTACGTACACGCGTGCGCAGTCGCACTCCTGCGTACACGCGTGCGCACAATGGCAAAATAAACGCCCGTTTGGCAATGCAGACCACGGGACAAAGTGTTGTAGTGATCATCTATTATTGGCTGCCATGGAACAGTTTGGGTGTTCCACAAAGACAAAGATCCCCCGTATAGGCTTAACAGACTGTTGAGGCAAGTGCTGTTAGCGAGCACCTATGGAAGGCCGGCACGCCACACGAGGGGGTGAGTGGCCAGCTCCATGCCCAACCACCATTGGCTCCTGAGTGGTGATATCTCCACACCGCACCAGGTACTCATTTGAGGTTGAGTCGACCTAGAGGAGGCCCAGGAACGGTGGAGATAATCGTCACTGGTCTTGGCCGTAAGCGGGAATCAAACTCTGGTCGCCGAGTTCGTAGCGCAATGCGCTAATCACTGCGCCACCACTCCCCACAATACACATACTCGGAATTGTTTGGGTGTTCTACAACTGGACACACAACTCAAACTGTGTTCGACAACACGGTTTGAGTGGCATGTACTTGCTTTGCGAATAACCTACCACCTCCTACCTCTGATTCCCAGTGCTAACGGCAATGTGTACATGACAGCACACCGCTCGAGGTACTTATTTTAGGCTGAGTGGAGCTAAGGGAGGCCATGTAAGGTACAGATACTAATTGCCAGTGGTGATATGTACACTGAACACACAAGGCGCAAACACACAGACGCACGGTCACAAGTTCATGCTCTCTTGCATGCCATAATGCTTACGCATGCCTTAATTTTAGAATCTCAAAATCATTGCTCCTTGTCCTGTAGCTTTAACAAAAAAAAATTATGCAGAAATCAGATTTCTAGTTGTCATTAGATTTCTGTTTTTGTTCGTTGCAATCTTTAGAAAACGATACGTAGAATACAATGGGAGTTCAATCTTTGTCCTCGGTTGTTTTTGTTAGCGAACAAAAACATTGATTCTGCGTACGTTGTTATTAAATGGTGAGGCTTTGCCAAATTATATCTTTTTTCCAGTTATTGAGGTTTTCTATAAACGCTTCCTTGGATTTATTAATATTATTATTCTCGTAATGTCTTTATAGCCTTTGTACATGACAGCACCAGAATGTCTTTCAGGTAATTTAGGAGATGTTTGCTCACTTGCGCACAATTGGATTGGCCTCCACAACGAGAAACAATGGCCTCTCTCAAGAAGGGTGTTGTGGGATATTTCCCGCATGGCCGAGCGAGTTGATGCTTGATTCTTGACGACGTGCCCATAATGCATTGTCATGGGATCCAGAGGCTCAATTCTGCGACCCCATGGATTCAGAGGCAAGCGCCCTACCTCAAGACCACCCACTCACCAGTGTTGTATATTGTCTTTTGTATTTTTCACAACTCTCTCCCACATTCCTTCTGCTTGGATTATGTGTGTGTGTTTGTTTGTGTATCTGTGTATGTGGAGAGGTAGTGTAACGGTTAGCGCGCTGCACTACGAACCTGGCTACCCGGGTTCGATAGTGATGTAGAAGTCTGTGCGCTCACGGCTAACACCAGTAACGATTATCTGAACCGGTTCTGGGCCTCCCCTAGGTCGACCCAGCCTCAAATAAGTACCTGGTGCCGTGTGTAAACATCAACACTCAGGAGACAATAGCGGCCGGGCGTGGTGCTGGCCGCCCACCCCCTCATGTGCTGTCCCGGCCTTTATAGGTGCTTGCTAACAGCTCTTGCCCCAACAGTTTAAGGCAATATGGGGGGTCTTTGTCTTTGTATCTGTGTATGTGTTTTTCTGCTAATGTGGCGATTGGTGATGTAGTGATGTAGAAGTCTGTGCACCCCGCTACTAGAATCCTGATGGCCTGGGTTTGATTCTGGGCTGGAATTCACAGCACCAGTTGCAACTGGTGTCTGAAACGGTTTCTGGCCTCCCGAAAGTCTGCTTGGGCAAGCACTGAGGGGATAAAAGTGCTCAATCCATGCCACACTCATAATGCCATGCAGGCCTTACAATCTGGCCTTATCCCTGTTATCTGGCAATTTCTTGAGCAATTTCTTGAGCAATTTTCTAACATTGTGCTTGGGTCATAGTCGGCATAGGGAGGTAGATAAAATGTGTGCAATTAATTACACCGCAGGCATGGTGAGTTAGTGGGTTAAAACAAAATCAATAGTGAATGTGATGCCAGCAGTGTTAACTTATAAAGGGTCTCAAGATGCTTCAGATGCTTCACATGAGGAAAGAAGGTAAAGTGAGGGTTTGGGGTTCGGTTGGGGGAGGGGGCAGTGAGACTCGGGATTAGAGAAGAGAACAACCCCGCGGCACTGACCCCCCCCCCTCCCCCGGGTCAACGAGACCGAGTCTAGGCAGATAAAGCAACCAGGAGGCCCCAACACCAATGAGAGTCCCAGGGGCAACGAATGCAGTCGGGCATCAATGACAACCAGGGACATCCGGTGCAGCCAGAGCAGCTGTGATGAGTCCCAGAGTTGTGTGTACTCTTTAATTGTATTTACTATTTTATTATTTTACCAAGTAAGGCCCACTGAGCTGTATAGCTCTTTTTCAGAAGCGACCTGGCCACAAATTATAGCACAACGAAGTGGCTTATCGCGTGGCAATGTGCAGCAGCCAAATCCTCTTCAACGCATGATGTTGATTCTAAATGTGGAGGGGAAAAACCGGAGGACCCAGAGAAAAATCCACGTGGGAAGAGAAACACGCAAACTCTAAATATGCAGTAGGCATCAGGGTCGGGATCAAATCTACGACCTCCTGTTTCCCAGTCTTGGAGGGCCAGGGTCCTTCATCAATGCATTCCAGGAGCAGCGGGAGTAGCCAGGGTGGCATTTAATTTGCGATTACATCTATATACTGGTACATTCCAATTATGCAACCAATAGTCTTGCGTTTTGTACATGTGATGAGCAGAGGTTACTAATTTTATCGAAGGTAAAGGTAGGTTAAGCTTAGATGGTATGAGCACGTGATGAGCAGAGGCTAAGAAGATGGCAATGAGGAAGAAGGTTAATGTAGACGCGACCAGTTGCAGGGGCCAGGAGATCGAGGGTGATGATGGGAGGATGTGGTGGACTGGGATAGGAGGGCAGTGGACGTGACTTCAGAGGAGAGGTGCAGAAGAGATTGTCTTTCTCCATGTGCCTCTGAGCAGCCGACCCCATGCAATTACGTGACTTTTTGGCTTAGAAGAAGCAATGGCACAACAACGTTGGGGGGCGGGGGGGGGTAAAAATGAAATTGAAAGAACAAAATCTGGTCCTATATGAATCATAACCACAGCTGCCTTTGTTCGGAGTGAAATCCGTGTGACATTATTGGGCGGTAGCAGGTTTCGAGTGCAGCCTCGGCTGCATTAATTGCTATCACCTCATCGGCTCAGGGTTTTCGCAATGAAGAGAGACGTCCAACATTGGTGCACAAGGGGGGGGGGGGTTGGCTTGGCAAATGTTTAATTTCCATTCCGTGGAAATGAAACGGCAAATGACAATACGCCACTGTGAGTCCATCGCTTGTTTTTAAAAGGGAGGCAGTAGAAGCCGGACCATCGCCAAAGTGTATTCCTGTGTCATGTTGGTCTGCGGCCACAGCACATTGCGGCTAGATCTCATGAGCCAAACAGGCTCTGGTCTGGAAGTACTTGAATTAGTAACCACCAAGGAACCATAAATTGCCCTAGGTAAGCAGCATTAAGGCAATTTCCTCTCTAAGCCATAATTCAAGTGATATACCTATGCAGTACTGAAAGGAGACGGAAGCCCACAAGTGTTGTCTGTCTTGTGCATGTTGATCTTGCGAGCTGCTTTATTCACCTTGGGAATCATTGTATGTGAAGCTTCATTGTAAATTATGAAATATGGTTATGTGTGCGTGCATGTAGTGGGGAGTGGTAGTGTAGCGGTTAGTGCTCTACCCTACGAACCCTGATTTCGATTCCCGCTCATGGCCAACACCAGTGACGATTATCTAAACCAGTCCTGGGCCTCCCCTAACTAAGGAGACAAAGGCTGTGGTGTTGCCCCCCCCCCCACCCGTGCCGGCCTTCATAGGTGCTCGCTAACAGGCACTTGCCCCAACAGTCTGTTAAAGGCGATACGGGGATCTTTTTCGTTTGCATGTACTGTGTACACATTTGGCCTGTATTGTTTCACTTTCCCGCAATTCATTGAATTGTCATGATTCAGATCCTTCATTGTTCAGCAATAAATTACCTCTCTGTCTCGTTGGTTGCGTCTCATTAGATCTGTTCGCCTAAAGCTGGTGCAAGTTACTGGCACGATTCGATGCTGGCATCGCGATATATGAATTTATTTTACTTAATTATTCAGTTAATCATGACACGTGTCATCAACATTTCTCCGAGTATGAAATAAGCTTATGCCCTTATAGTGTTGCCATGAGTAAGTATTAGGCATGCACTATTAATTGGTTCACTGATTCAAATTGATTCTTACACTCATGACCCATGCAAATTAGTAAGTAGAAAAAGCATACCTCGCCAACCATGCATAAAAAACTGTTCAACGTTAATTTTTAAAAACATAGTAGAATCGGAAAGTATATATATATATATGTTCAACTTCTTTCAGACCGTACGTGACCAAGGCGATGCTTAGAAAGTATAATTCACGACATTGACATAGCTATAAAGAAAAGTAAAAACAACACCTCTAATTGTTATTCTGGCATGTGTCCGAGTAAAGTGGCGTTGACGCAAATGCAACATCCGTCTGTATGTAACTGTTGAACTTCTTTCGCACCATACGTAGCCGACCGTGCTAATCGGTGGTGCTCGCACGCGGCCGTGCGTTCGCATCCGCCAATGCGCGGGGAGAGCACAGGGCCACCGCTCTTGCCGTGCTGGTTCCGCCGCGGCATCGCGTCGCTGACTTTTGCTTGCGCGCTCGTGCGCGTCCCGCTCCTTGCCGCGTTGCGTTTGGCCGCAGCACGTACAACTTCGCCACGGACGGATTCCACGCGTCGGCGACGAGCGCCAACCTGTGCCTGGCGACTGGCGTGCGCGGCGGCGTCGACTGGATGAGGAAGCTCGCCTTCCGCTACCGGCGCGTCAAGGAGATCTATAACAGCTACAAAAACAACGTCGGAGGCAAGCACCGCGGTCCTTCTCCCGCGGAATTAAACGAAATGCGTTTTGTGGATGGGCTTTTTCCGTTGACGGTGGAGCGCAGGCGAAAATGTCAAAGCTCAACACGTTCGTCGTTTAATGCTGCTCGAATGAAGAAACAATATGTAACCAGCGAAGGGTTTTGGAAATGGCCCTACTTCATCCCAGAGAGAGAGATCTCTCATTTTAGATTTGAAGCTTTCGTGACTGCAAGGATTCATATTCTTAGGTTTTTTCGGTAAAGTCACGTAGGTAAAATTTTTTAGTTATTTTGTTTTATTTTACTTTTATTAATTAATTTAAAATGTTTACCTACGTGACTACCGAAAAAACCTAAGAATAAGAGATCTCTCAACTAAGACGTGTTATTGACAAACGTGTGTAGAGTTTTTGTTATTTTTCTTTCCACGGCTGAACTACTTCGGTATAAGTGTGTTTTTTTTATCATTACATTTTTTAACAAAAATTGTCAATCACGTAATTTGCCTTTTTGGACAGATTGGCCCTCACCATGGAAATTTTGAATTTCCTTTTCTGGCTCGCAGACTACATGAAGTGCTGAGAAAGAGATGAGCAGGAGATGATATTTTATTTGACTGCATCCCTGTTGTGCTATTAACGGTCATGTAACAAGATGAAATAACACCCTTTACAGCTCCCTCAGTCGCGTCATGTCAGAACTGCTTGGGACTAAAGTTACATGTTCATTAAGCCTGCCACGGTTTATATTTATTCGCTCACACTCTTAATCATGCTTAGTTTAAGCACTTAATCTGTTATTGCTGTGGATTGTCACAACTATGTGGCGTTTTCAGGTTTCACTTTTTCGCAGTCAATATCAGGCTGACTGATGTCAAAGTGTGAAATATTAAACTCTATTATTGCATTTAAAAAAATACTACATAAGCGAAATCGAAATTTTCCATCGCTCTGGTGACGCAAATAATTCATCACTCTTTGCAAGTGTGAATTAGCAACTTACCAAGACATTCATACATTTGCAACCCCTGAAATGATTTCACAATTTTAAAAAATAATCGTGTTTTTACATTTTTATTTCAATACTGCGTGTTTTATATCAACGCTTAAGCATTTTTGTTCAGTCGACTCCGTTATAGTTTCACAAGCTTGCTTTTTTTCACTCCCTCGCGCCGAACTCCACGTTTGAAACACGGGGGTACCCAAAAAGCGGAGAGAGGGGGGGGGGGGCCGCGTTATTTTTCGAGAAAACACGAGCGCCGTCGGTGCTGCTCCTCGAGAGTTATTTTTGTAAGCGCCCGCCGTCGCTTTCCTGTTGTTGTTGGAGCAGGCCTCCTCGGGCCACCGAAGCGGGACGCCTGGCTGCAGCTGCGCGCAGAGATCGAGGCCCTCACCGACTCCTGGCTCACGCTCGCGCTCAAGTCGCTCTCGCTCGTCCACTCCCGGTCGGTCAAGACGCCCCTGCGCCACGCTGCGCGCCGCCCCCCCCCCTTCCGTCAGACCGCTTAGACTGCTCGCCTCATTGTCTCGTTGTTGTTGTTGTTATTGTTGTTTTTAAAGCCTAAGAATGTTTTTTCAGGCCCAATTATGCCTATGAACAAGTCACCTAGAATGTAAATGATCTTGTCAGGTCTCAGAAGCTAAGCAGGATGAGCCTGGATAGTGCTTAGATGGACAAGCACCAGGTATAAAACAGGTGTTATAGGCTGCTGCGAGGCTAATTTATCAGTAGGGGGCAGTGCAGCGAAATTTAGTTGTACAGTACTCGACTGCAATGTATGTGTTCCTGGCCCATTTTTTGTTGTTATCACACTTGCCGAACACAGGCCCAAAAACCCAAGCGGCCAAATAAAATCTACATTTTAGGTTAACGGAGACAGAAAAACCTGACAAATGAGACAGAACAAGCAAGGAGAAGCAATGCAAACAAGATGTAAAAACGAGACGAAGAACATAATTTATTCTTGAATCAAATCATGGCCTCGTATAGTGGCAAATCCATCGAATCGCCGATGCGATTGAACCGTTACTTGCTTGGGTGATGCCTAACAAGCGGCCACCCCCACCCCGCTGGATAGAGCGTCGCATTTCTTTCGCCAATAAAATTGCGCGTGCCTTGTGCACTTAATTAACACAACACGAACGACCGCCAGAACTTTTATTACCCAGCTTAACATCACAATAATTAGTAACGGCGGTGAGTTGTGTAGATAAAGCGCATACGCTTGAGCGGCTGTGGGCTTTGAGTGCTCACGCGGTGGATGTAGATTGTAGGCGTTGTTGCGCTAACTGATGCTGACATTTGATGGCTTCTCGCACAGGTCAAACTGCATCAACGTGTTGGTCACCACAACCCAGCTGGTGCCAGCCCTGGCCAAGGTGCTCCTCTACGGCCTGGGAATCGTGTTCCCCATAGAGAATATTTATAGCGCAACAAAAATAGGTAAGGACTACAACTCATCTTCTGGCCAGCTTGTGTGTAACTTGGGTGTAACAGCCACGGCCTGCTCCCTGTTTCGTGCGCCTAATTGTGCCACCTTTTAAAGAATGTCGCAGTTGGTAACACTTGTTCCTCATAGTAAGAAGAGCCTGGGTTCAATGCCTGACTCGAGCACCACCTCTCTGTGTGGAGTTTATATGTTCTCTTATAATGCATGGGGTTTTCACTGGGTTCTCCATTGATAAAAAAAACCCATAAAATATCACAGGTACTCGCCAAAAATCCCATTCCCATATAATTACCTGAAAACTACCCACTTGGACTGTACAGATAGCAACTCTGCCTCCTCCTGAAAAACTTGGCAGGACCCTCCAGGAGAAGAGGTGTGATTCAGTTGAGGCTTTCCTGGGTAAACGAGCACAATTATAAATATTATAGATAGTATAATAGGCCTGTGTTACTTGATTACATTTACTAATAAGCACGATGTCAAATATCTGACTCGCATCCGCCCTGACCAATTAACTGCCCACACCCCACACCCGCTTTAATCCAGAATATTTATATCTCAGGCCCCAGCTAGTCGGATATGCAATGTGGTACTGTCCATGAAGTTATGTGGTCAATTTTATTTATTCAAATGTGGGGCTTGGATAATGGTATCGGTCAGAAAGTGGCCTCCGCTAAAAATTGTAACGTGGAAGTCTGTTCAAATCTGGACCATTGGAAATCTCCGGATCATAGAGCCATGTAGACATATTGGCTCAGGAAACATTACCTGCTCACTCTCAATTCAGTTACTGACATTTTATTTGTAGCCGTCTGAAAAGCAGGCAAACCCCCCCCCCCCCCCGCCCAGGTTCATAAATATAAACATAACAGAATAAAGTCTTTCAATTAAATCGGATTTAGGTAAACTTGTTATATTTCATAGTTACAAGGGACAGGCTGCTTTGTTTATGGACTTTTTGGCGAGTGGTTTGTGTCGGTTTGAACATTCTGTGCTATTGCAGACAGTTGGCAGCCCGCTGAAATATTAACGTATTGCATAAACGCGCGTTTTCTCTTCTTGCTTGTAGTTGCATGATTAAGTCCATCACCATTCCTTTAGAACAACATTTTTAATGTTGGCTTTAAATGTCGTCGCTTGAATGTTGGTAACGCCTAAGCATGCCACAAGGGAAAAAAAAACGAATGCCAAAAAAATCTGCGTTCCTTCGAAAGGAAGCTCATTTGCTAGGTGTGGTTGGGCACGCCCCACGATTTTTAAGCAATTTGGTTGGTGGATTGCACAGAGACAAAGCCATCAAATGTGTGAAACACCCACCCCAAAGGGCAATGAGATAGTGCCTGTAACAGGTAGCACATCAAATCGTTTTTTTCTGACCTTGTTGGTGGAGATTATTGTGTGAGCTTACTCAAGCCACTCACATTTATCACTACATTAAAAAAAAAAAAAATCTAAAAAAGCACTGCCATTATCTCCCAAGCAGGATGCGAGTGAAAATACATTGATACTCAGTGAGGCATCCCCGGGTGAATAAAATTGTTATTTATGCATTCTCTTGTTTTTGCGAGTGAAAGTATTACAGCATATATAATTTTGCATAAACTGTAGTGTGCTTAGGGTCGCTGAGTAGTATTATGTTGTTGTTGCAGGCAAAGAGAGCTGTTTTGAGCGCGTAGTTTCGAGGTTTGGCAGGAAAGTTGCATATGTTGTGATTGGAGATGGGCAAGATGAGGAACAGACATCCAAGCAGGTAAATAACCCTATCCCTGTGTTTCCCCAGGCAAAGAAAATTGCTTTGAGCGAATTATGTCCCGGTTTGGCCGGAAGGTAGTGTATGTGGTTGTGGGCGACGGCGTAGAGGAAGAACAGGCCTCAAAGAAGGTAAACAAGGAGTCGCAGAGCAACCGACCGCACTGCCAGGCTGTGTCACACTCTTCCCTCGAGAGCCATGCCACTCGTATCGTCTTAACGGAAACGACGAAGGTTTTGAATAACGTGACCATAACGAAAATAGTTTTTCCTTCGTAGCGTTGGAGCGAATGTGATAATGCCGTAAATATGAAAGGTGTCGTTCACGAGCGCAGGAAATTAAACGTTCGAGTTGGAAAACCGACTGACACGGCAGAAATCTCGGCATTGGATCCAAGCGGGAAACCCTTAATTGTGCCGGATTCTTCGAAGCGTTTGTTTTTCTTGAATTTGACCTAGCTCCCATCTGAGTCTAAAATGTATAAAATGTCAGCAATCGACACTTTTAAACCACCTATAAATTACAGTAAGAGCTGCTGAATCTTAAAGTGGTTGGTGCAATAAGCCGAACATTCCAAAGTGATTTTTCATGACCCTCCTGAAAAAGAGTATTGAGACTCTTAAGGTTTTCCTGGAGAAAGGACATTTAGTTATACGTATTCTTAGAAAATATTTTTTTAATATGTATACATAATATAAAATCAACATATAATGAGGTTCATTGTCAATCCGCTACTCAATTTAGGCCTCCGTATTCCTCGTCGGCCACGGGAGTTGGTTGACCATCCCTCACGACACTCGTCAGTGTGGGTTAGCGAAGGGAGAGGAGGAATGGCGGTTGGACGACATGGATGGGGGCGGGGGAAGGAGTGGAGCGGTGACCAAGATCGGTTCAGACATCACTCGCCACTCATGCTAGCCACGAATGGAAATCGAACTGGGGTCGTTTGATTAATGGTGCAATGCCCTATCCACAGTGCCACCACTGCGCCCCTTAGAAATCAACATTACTTAACGAGAATAACCATTCCCAGACTGTCCTGCATGGGGCCAACGTGCTGAGAATTGACACAGCCCCCCCCCCCCCACCTTCACCATACCTTTGAAGCCCCCTGCACAAACGCCAGCATGAGGGCCTGCGTGCCACCTGCACCCGTGCAGGTACCGCGCTGGTGTGCGCCCTCCTTGTGAGTCCGAGCCGCGCGCCCGGCGCGTTCCCACGCTGGGGTTATGTTCTGGCTCAGTCGCTTGTGCCGTCCGCCCCCGTTTTTTTTTTATTTTGCCACGGCTTCGCAAGCGCTGGACAACAAAACACGCGGGGCGTCAACTGCGAAAGTTGGCGTTTGCCGAAAGTTTTAACGTATCAGTTTCCACGTTTTAAAGTTTTTTAAGCCGTTCCAAAGTACACATGGGAGAGACGTGGCTTGTGTTACATTACTTTACCATCGGCAAATTCCATATACGTTTGTACTTTTGTTTTGGATGTTTTCAAAGTGTATCCTATCAGAGAGTTTTCAGTGTTTGCTTAAAATCAGCACGAATATTTTAAGGTCAGCGCTCATGAAATAACACGATGTAGATGGAGGTGGTAAGCTTTGATGAAAACATGATCCAAAACTGCTCCCGATGTGCGGTTTTTTTTCTTCCCAATTCCAATATGTTTTTATGCCTTTTATTCTATATTTCTTATAAAATCATGTTTAATATGTCGTCCGCAAACTAAAATCGTCGTTATTATGTTGTTCACTATGAAGATGAAAACTTGATCTCCTGTGTTGAGCTTCATGGTAAATTGAGGGGTATCTTTGAAAAGAAGGCTCAAACCTACGTGTATATATTGATTTTTAACCAGCACTCGTTAATCCGTGACTGCATACACTTGATGCCTCGTGCAAACTGGATGACGATGCTATTGCGTAGGTTTTTGCCGTATAGCTCTGATGCGTTTTCGGGTTGCACCGCAAGTTGTTCGGCGTGGTGTCTTGACGTTCCACTGCACGTGCTTGGAACTCCCAGCTTTGCTGACGAAGCTTCTATCACGTGGAGCGAAACGTCGGACGCCGTGCTGAGCAACTGGCAGCACGAACCCCGAAACCCGTATCGGAGCGAGCTAAATAAAGCGATGCCGTTGCACGCGAACGTCGCCCGAACGCCGCGAGTGTTAACGGCGACGGCTTTCTTCTTGTCGCCAGCACAACATGCCGTTCTGGCGCATCTCAAGCCACTCGGACCTCATGGCCCTGCACCACGCCCTGGAGCTGGAGTACCTGTAGTGCCTGCGCTTGAGTCGCACCGCCGCCACCGCCGCCGCCACTGCTGTCGTCCCGGAGCTCAAGACGCCTGGACTCGGTGGAGCCGAGTGAAGAAGTCTCTTCTTAGCCCCAGGCCGACGGCTTGAGCAAAGCAAGACTTCGCCCGTGCCTCACTCTGCCACGGCGGGGACACGAAAAGTGATTTCTCTTTAACAAACAAAAAAAAATCTACAGATAATTTTGTTCGCCCCCGGACGAAAGGGGACCTATGGTGGAACGGAGCTTACTTGATGTTACCAAGGATTTGCATGGACCCTTTTTACGTCCAAACCGGCCTGGCAGAAAAAGGAGAAGGTGTGCAAGACTCACGGTGGACTTGGGATGAAGCCCGGAGTGTTTCTTCAGCCACAGATGCGGTGTTTTCTGGGGTTTTTTTATTCATTGTTTCAACAGTGGCTTGATATCTGCTCTTAAGTGCTCAAGTAACAAAAAGGCTACATTACAAATGACAGACACAGATGGAGAAATCAGAATGTTGACAACTATAAGAGAAAAGGGAGGGGGGCGGGGGGTGGTGGGGTGGGCTGGTGGGGTGGGAGTCTGTTATCAAAATGTGTTTGCGAAGATGTAAACCGTTGTAATGTATTTATTGTAATTTTTCACCTCCCCCCCCCCCCCCCCCCGTCATTTGCTGAAGGTACGTAAAAAAAGGAGACCGGTTCTGAGAGCAAGATGCTCGGATATGTTGTAAAAAACAAACATGCAGATCTGCATCGACAATCAAATGTACACTTCCTGCCGTCATTTAACCCATTGTTTAAAAGAAAGGGGGGAGATGGAAACGAAAACGAAACATTAAAAGGTCGTGACGTGTAAGTTGTGGGGGGGTGGGCCGTGTGTCGGCATTGAAAATGATAAATCACGTCGGCACGTGCTTCTGTCGTGCCACGTTTTTCACGAATTACTACTATGTCACAATGCATCGTGGGTAAATATGTAGATACAAATAAAATTAACTTCCGTCCTTGTTTGACCAAAATGCGTCACTCGAAATCAAAGCTTCTAATCATGTGTGACTGTTAATGATGATGGCAGACACGCGGAATTGTCAGTATATATTTTTTAATTGTCGCCTTTCGTGTATCTTTTACTGTAGAAATTGGAAGCTGATTTGTAAATTGATCTGTTTCGTGCATTTAAGAGTAACGTATTTGTTGTTTAAAAAAAAGACCTAAGGTTGAAGCAAAAAAAACGTTTTGTAAGTAAAGTATGGAAGTATGTGATATTCCCTTTGTGTGTAGAAAATCAATATCAACTTGGACAGCATCTGTCAGCATTTAGAATGTTCTACCTTGTTCGCTGCTGCAGCAAACTGTTTCCTATGCAATTCAAGCATGACGTTTATAGGCGTAGGGATTTTTTTAAAATAATTAGACAATATTGACAGTGGTGCCTTTTATTACCAAGCTGTGCGCTGTTCAGCAATTGAGTTGAAATCTCTAATTGTAAGCACTCGAGACTAAATGAACTCTCAACTGTGATTGTGCGATATTTAGTTTTAAGTTCAGCAAATGTTGTGGCTGGCATTAATTGAAAAGCAAAACAAAACGCCTTCTGTTTGGAAAATTCATTATTTGTTGCATTTAAGTTGTTCAACTTTTCCTGTATCTTTCCCAGAATGAATTACTCTGTGTGCGTTATTGAAAGCCGGATAAATGTAAAACGTCTTAACCAACAAACTTAGCCGTGTCCAGTTTGGTGAAATGAATGTTTGCGAAGTTCCCTTAAATCACGGCTGCTCAACTTTTGACGTCGCTGGGGTTCGTATTGGAAGCAGATTAAATAAATAAATAAAATGCCTCGCATAGCAATTATTTTGAGTGCGAGCTTTGCCGAAAATGAACATCCGCGAATATGAACAAAAGTGGCATGCACGAGTACGAACTATATTGAACTTTACAATTTGCATTAAATTTAACAAGTGCATGAATGTGTTGGCAGAAGGAATTTAGCAGTGAAAGGTTACACATTGAGCAGCCTTGCTTTAAGTGCATTCGGGTCATGCTGTGTACGGAAAGAGGATCGTTTATTGCCACCATATGAATATGAGCTCCATTCTCACCCACGCCAAAATGTCCCAACGTTTCGTTGTTCGCAAGGCATTTTATATCGCTCTGCCGTGTATGTCTGTGGGAAACTGGCTTCTGATTGCAGATTCAAAAGGGACATGCTTTTGACTTTTCTAACATTTGAGAGAAGTACATTTTAAAAACAATAACCGGGTGATCACACGCACTAGACGACGCTTGAGCAAGCCGTCCCTGTTTTCGTGTCGGCGTGGGTTTTGTCTCCTTTTTCCGAGTCAAAACAGCCGACTGCTGCGACATCCAGGCGAAGGGAGACAGAGGCCCCTTTTTCCTCCTGACGTTGACCTCGTAAAAGCTTTGGTTTGTGAACTGAAACATTTCAGGGTGACGTGGTGTAGGAGTTTGCCCTCCTCCATACACACTTCTTCGTTTAGTCACGCGGATGAGCGAGTGGCCGTCACTGAGACCCGAGTGGGACGTGTGACGCTTGCCTTCCATTTGTATTATATATATTGCGTGTTCTAGTCTGGGAAAAAATTAACAGGAGCCTTGCAATATGTTTAGCTAATTTAATAAAAATGTTGTTTGAGATGACACCACTTTTTGTCCTGTGACCAAATGTTGTCTTTGTTCATTTCAAATAGCATATTTCAATGAGTCGATTTTTTTTTGGTTGTATGTTGAATGACATTTTACACTTAATTTACTTATTAATTCAACATCTTTATCTACAAATTTAAGTTCAGAGCAGTGGCGCAGCAGTTAGCGCGTTACACTAAGAATCCCTGTAACTGAAGTGTGATTCCTTGCCACAGCTAATATCCGTGGCGAGTGATGTATGAGCTTGTCCTGGGTCCCCTCCCCCCTTCACCCATCCATTCTCTCCAGCACTGTGAAGTGTGACGAGCAGTGGATTAACAGCAATCTTAAGAACGATCACAAAGTTCTACCCACGTGACTTTACCGAAAGAACCAAAGAGTTTGAATTCCTGCAGTCACGAAAGCTTCAAATCAAGATTGATCACAAAGTTATCCGATGTAAATTTTTCTGAATGAACGGGCAAAGCATATGTCACACGTCAATGAAAACTCCTCTTACCTGCGGCAATGTGCAGGACCAATAACGCCGATCCTACGCTCCGTGAGGTTATCTCCATCCGTGGGAACATTTTCGGTGCATAACAGAAGAATAGGACCGCGAAAAATTAGTTTTGCGGATGTCACGGCTGCCACCAATAATATTATTCGCAGCTGAGAGGGTTATGAATCAGAGGAGTACGTTCTCCTGTGCCACAATTAAAAAAAACATCGGCAACAAACGTTTTGCTATGTACTATCAGAAACCCACAAATACATAAGGATTGCAATTTTAAAACGGCAGTTAGGCGCTGTTTGTGCAAAGTGGTGGCAAAAAAAAATCTGATTTTTTTCTTCTTACAATTTTTAAGTGTTTTGAGAGAAAGAAAAAACACTTTTTTACAGTTTATTCTGGAAAATCCCAAAGCCCCTGAGTTGCATCTGACAAGAGTCAACTGAGTAATGGCCTAGCAAAGTGCCCAGTTCAACACACCGTTCACATCCTGTCACTCACCACGTCAATTCTAACGCCGGCTGACAGCATTATTTAATTTTTTCAAAGTAAAGCTTGCGAAGTACAATACTGTATAGGTCTTTTAACAGTGCGCTTGAGGCTCGGCAAAAACTACTGTATAATGTGCTGTGAAGAGTTTGTGGGAATGGCCTTAGGTGACTTTTTTAAAACTTACAGATGCCCCAAACTTTTTCCCATCTTTGTCTGCCCTTGAGGCGTGTGTTCGTATACAGAGTGATCGCACAGGATGTGGTTAAGTGTAAGGAGTATAATTATAGGTGTCTGTGACTCTAGGCACACTCGCCGATGAAAGTTATTTATTTTTTTTGTGTGGGAAGCATCGATTAATTGTAGTTTTACTTGCGTGCATAATTTCTTCACACTGCACCTACAGACCTTCGCTGTTTTAGTGGATAGGATTATATAGTATTGTATTTATAATATTCCGTGATTCCAAAGTGTTGGTGTTTTGTTCAGGGCACTATATTACGTATTTTGTAAATCAGTTGTGTTTTATTAATATCCATTTCATGTTAAGACTCAGTTTTATTCGATCTTTTTGGAAATCGTCACTTATTTGCATCAACTTTCATTTCGTTACAATACAATTGTTCAAAAATGTTGAACACTACAACACAGTTTTGCCAATATTCATTTGTCTTCAATACCATACTTAAATTATTAATATTTGTCTCCGTTGGCAATGAATATTAACGCCAAATCTGCAATGCCGCCCTCCCATTGAACAACTCAGATATTCTAACCGTGAGCCACAATTGCATTGGGTGCTGTTGGCTGGTCCATTAACGCTGTACGCGGCACGTACTCCATATTGATCGAAACCGAGTTTTGAGAATGGGGCTGACAAATCTCTATCCAAAGAAACGAGTGAATCCGTTAACTGCGACAATCTTGGAAGCGCATAGAAGCAGCTGTGCGTGGCAGGTTAAACGAGTGCAGCACACCGAGAAACGCCAGTGAATCAGCTCAGGAATTAATTCCTGCTCTGGTGTGCCCAAATACCTAGCCAAAGCAACAGCAACAGCGCCGTTTGCCCACCAACTTTCTTCCGAGGGACTTCAAGCACCCATCCGCTACAGGCTGCTTTTCAAACGCACGGGGGTTTTCCACAAAGTACCCATCCCCGCTCACCTCAATGTACAAACATAAAGGAGGGGAATGAATGACTTTATGCCCGCGTGTGCACTGGGTGTAACAGAAAAGCGGCCGAATGTGTGACCCACACCACGCGTATGTGACTTTACCCCACATGCATCACAAATAATCCCCAATATATGAAGAGGTCGGCGAAGAGCATTATTAAAGGTCTCAAACACAACGTGCGTGCCTCCTATCTACGGTTCTTCGAACACATTTAGGAGGTGATCAACGAGCGTCTGTCTCGAGGCAGCTTGCGACTGGCACGTGCAACTTGTTTTGATAACAGCGAACGGTTTCAATATTCAAGCTACAAAAAAAACGTCGGGTGAACGGCAACGAGAGTGAAAATGGGTTTTTTTTCTTCAGTTTTCCTCGTTTATTCATTCGGAAATCGCCCCAGGTGAGCTGTGAGAAACCCTAAAGTGCAATTATCTCCACGGTGACGAAACGACGAGGCGAGACAGCCAGGTAGAGGTGCGCGTGGTAACGCTTAACGATTACCTGCCCTCGTTCCCTTGCCACTCATTGCCGGCCTAACCATCAAACGTTTGCTCATTGCTCCATTCGCAACATGGTTTAACACCATAAGTCCCGTCCCCCCCCCCCCCCCCCTATACATTTCCAATCCCGGCAGGGATACAATGTTTGCTTATGATGCCAGGTTCGTGAATTCCATGTCGGATTTATGTAGCGCCTACCGGAGACGTTTCTTTTGCACCTTGTAATTGTAACCCGCGAGCTATATGATGACACGGTGGTGTAGTGTGTAACAGAAAAAGTTGAATGTTAATTTAATCTACGATGTTGAACTTCAGTTGGTTATGAGTGCAGCATGGTTGGGTTTTTTTTTCTGCACATTTAATGATTCATGAGAGGAGAGGCGTCAAGGTGGGACATAATTCAGAGTGGCTTTGAAAGCCAAGCGATAATTCGATTCAAAGTGTGTTCCATTTCATTTCCCATCCTTATTTTCTGCCAGGGCATGAAGGGTATTAAACGAGAGCGAGTAGTATTTAATGCTTTACAAAATGCACTTAATATTGGCGGGTTAAATGCTCCATTTTTGAGAGTGATTAAAAATGACCGTTGATTATTTTCATTGCGTTATGCATGTTTTGAACTCCTGCGTTTGTAACGTATGTTTATTTGAAGATTTAAATTAGGATGGAAACATGCTGGTATTTTTTTTCTTCTATATATGCTGCTGAAAATCTGCCCCTGCTCTGCTTAATTTAACACAAATGTACTGTAAAGATATCGCATAACTTTAAAACAAAGGGCTCAGGATTAAATAATTATTTTTAAAATGTGACCAGACATGTTTAAGCAGTGCTGCCTTTGTTCTCTGGATTCTAGTTTCAAAGCTGAAAGGCATTTGGGGTTGAAAACCACACGTTGCCAAATGTGTATACGCTCATTCTCCCCAACCAACGACACCGAAGGAATCAAGCCAGTGAAAATATAAAGTGATAAAGTGTTGCACCTTACAAATGGCACTTTACACTTTGGCTCAGCGGTGCGGCCCTTTCTGCTTTCGTTTGTCGATCATCTCGCCGCTCAGGTCCGCTCGCTCCTGACACGTAGGCCCTCTTTGGGAATCAGAGTGGAGATTGTTAACACAATATTACGTAATATTAGCGTCTAGTAACATTTTGTAAATCTCCAGCTGCTTTAGTGGAGCAAATTATGCAGCATGCTGAACCAATTTAGCCATCATGGTAAACTAAAATGCCCCTCATTCCTCAAGGCCTGGAGTATGATGTTAGCTGACGGCGGTTGCTTGACGGCTGGTTTATTAGATTTGGTCATAGTAAACCCACAGCAGACCAGCCCCTTGGAAACATGATTAGAAGGAATTGCCTTGTTTCTATAAAAGCCAAGTTGCTTTAAAGGCCAGATTGTTTTTCTGGCATTGGCAAGGAGGCAAAATTGCCTGCTCGCCCGCCGGTACAAGTCCGCACAATCAAGAAAATACGACTTTGCTTATTGCTCTTGACAATGGCGTGCAAGCCAGCCCGATATCCACGGGGGTTGATCTGAAAGCTGCTTCAGAGAATAATGTAGTTTAAGTGATCCCGGCTGTATCCTGCCACTAATATTACTCACACACACATACACACACACAAAGAATTCAGTGGGGTTTTTCTCCCTCCCACCCCTCTTTAATTTTTGTCCCCCTCCCTACCCTCCACCCCCCACCACCCATGCCCTCCTCATTTTCTCTTTTTATGCTATTTATTAAATTATTTTAAGCGATACGTTTGAACGACTCCACTTCCCTGGAGCCTCATTGCGGCATTTGTCTTAGCCGGCGTAGGCGGCCCAAAAAATTGGGTGGCGACGTCAGAAATTTTCTCCAGACGTGTTCAAGTCAATGAGCGCTCCTCGCCGTGCTTGTCCATTTAGAATGGGAGGGAATATTTTCGGAGCCGCATGTTTTAGTCGGGCAGAGAGAGAGGGGAGGGGGGGCATTTGCGCGGTGCCGCCGCGCAAAGCATGTGTGCGGTGACAGTGATGCATGTGGGGTAAAGACAATTAAGTGGCTGTGGGTCACCCATTAGGCAGCCTTTCTGTTACACCCAACCATCTGCTCCCCCCCCCACCACCAGTGCACGCGCGGGCATAGGCTACATTAAGTCATTCATTCATTCCCCTCCGTGTTTGTACATCGAGGTGAGCGGGGATGGGTGCTTTAAGGAGGAGAACCCGTGGGTTTGGAAAACAGCACGTAGTGGGTGGGTGGTTGAAGTGCACAAGAAGAAAGTTGGTGGGCTCACGGCGTGGTTACTGTTGCTTTGGCGACGTAGTTGGGCCCAGGGCAGGAATTACTTCCTGAGGCTTGAT